TACTATTTTAGTTACACTGCTAGACAAGGAATGAATTATGTTTAATCAATAGGCTGATTAACTCCATTAGGTAAAAATGATGGAAGTATAACTAATGGTCTCAATTATAGAGTGCAGACTACCACTGCAAAAGCTTCAGGCAAGGAATTCCATATTTAAATCTTTGAATTTCAAACAAACTTCAAAATTTCCTGAATGTTGCAAAAATCACCAGATCTAGTTACCTCTCTTCTCTAACCATCCTTAAACCAAACAGAAAACATCAGAAAAGTTAATAGCAGTTTACCTATGATCATGTTGTCTTCATAGAAAAAAAAATAAATTAAGGGGAAAAAAAAAGGAAAAAAGAACAGAGAATCAATATTAGAAGATACTTCAAGACATAAAAAAATTTCATTACAGTATGATGCTTGACAAAGACCTACAAAGGCAACAATTAAACTGATTAGTAGTTTCCAACAGAGATTTGAACAATTCTGTTACTATACTGGCACATGAAACTAGGCCATGGAAAGAGTTAAAGAGTTAAACCACAATCTGTTCTTTGTGTGGGAAGGCAGTACTGCTCTGAGCAACCACAGCCCATGATAAGATTTCCCTATCTTCATAGGCTTTCTGATGCCATGCTTTTTTCCCTTTCAATTATAACTACTAAAGAAAGTTTATTTTTTTCTCCTACAGAAGTCATCTTGAAGTCAAATTGAAGTATTGAATTTTTTTTTTTAATTAGTAGAAGCATAACGACTGTACTGTGTTAAATCCTCACAATTCATTTTAGGCTGAATAAAACGGATTTACTACAGATTTTGAAAATTCTAACAGCTGGGGCTAAAGGTGGGATGAAGGCAGGTGGCTGAAGAGCTTTGGGAGAAATTAATTTTTGCCTCAATACAATGATTTCCCCTACATCTAAACAGACTTTGGCATTTATAACTTAAAATGGCAATAAAATAATCATGGAGATATTCTACACTAGTAGAATATTGCACATCTAGTTTTAATTTTGAAGAAGAGCATCATAAATTATTAAATTATTTCAGATTGACTATGCTTTGAGGTAATGCATATAGTATTAACAATAATAACCTATACCACTTTATATCTATGAAAATTTTATAGAGAATTTCACTGTTTAAATTCCAGTCTGTAGCAGCTGAATGTTTCCTTTTCAAAAGTAGGGAGAAAAAAAACCACAAAAACATACACACCAGAAACTTCAACCTTTTAAAAACTGTATTCAGGTTTTTCTTTCACAGTATTGTTAAGTCCTGAAGATATACATATAGGTGAAAAGTATCAAGAAGAAACACAGCAAAGAATATCCTGTGTGAAAGCAATTTTATCAGATTTTTTGAGCTATTTATTGTGCACCTGGAGTATTTTCAAATGAAAATACTACTTGACATGGGGAAGTGCCCATAAAAAATGATCCTAAATGGACATTTGCAATTAATCACACACATTCTCCACCGAATCTCCTAAAAAGATATCAATGGAATTTTATTTTTACTCCTTAATATTCATATAGAAAATAATGAATTATTCTTGGTTTTATGTGTCATTTGCTCATGTGCCACAGTTGCTCTTGCAATGAAGTGATTTATAAAGGTAAGATTTTCAAATGTTATATCAAATAGTTAAGGTGAACTATTGTGCACTGGCAATTTAAATTTAAAAGGATGTTACTATATAACATCTATGTTGCTTGTAAAGAAAGGAAAAAATTGCAATCATCAAATGACAATAGGTAGGCCAGGTTTTCTTTATTGAAAAGATAAAGAGGATATGCAGTGCTCTTCTCCTATCTTTCACTTTTAAACTTTGTACCAGCCCATGAAAGCTCAAACTGATGACTGTACAGTAAATACACCGGATAGAAGTATGGAAATTTTATACAGAAAATTTCATCTACTCAACTTCCCTGCATGGATTTTCTCATGCCTAGTGAAATAGCATATAGGTACAAAAGAAAATACTACATATTGTGAGATTTTGGACTACTGTGACATAATAAACCATGGTAAAAATATCACAAGAAAGCAAGTACTAAAAGGTATGCAGTAACTGCATCCTATTCATGCCTCAACAAGACATAAATGCAGTTTCCAGTCATTCAGAAACATAGAGGAAGAGGTATATAGGAAAGAGAGGAAGGGACCCCCCCAAAATTAAATTGCATTTGGTAAGTTTTCTTCTACCCTGGAGTTATTTTCACCCACCAGACTTTTATTGTGAATATTATGGGAAACGCTCAAATCGATAAGGCTTGTCTTAAAGCTGTACTTTGGATTTTAGATTTGTTATTAAAACATGCTTCAGCACTGTCTCGGCACAAACTAAACCACCGCTTTCATAAGTAGCTCCATCCAAACAGGTGTTCTGTGTTTAGTTTTACCAAAATATTTTCTTCTGAACACCTACTACCACAGTCGATGTGCACTGCAAGAGTCCTAGAGACAGAGAATACAATAGAGAGAACAATTGTGGCAGTAATGCTTTAATGCATTTGCTACTCAAAGTGAGATGAATCAATCTTTTGCCTTAAACAAATAAAGAATATAAGGTTTAAGTACTCATTACTGGTGTCATTTTAATTTTTAATTTATGTAGAGAAAAAAATTATTTATAAACTTCTGTTATCATTCCAAGCAGGTAGAAAGAAAATCTGAACTAAAATAAATTTGCTGCAACTGCATTCCATGTACGTATCACCAAATGGGAACTGTCCCTGCATGGCACATGGTAGAGCATGATTGTAAAATATTATGAAGTATCAATGCACAAAATCCAGGAACTGCTTTCTTGGATTAATGGCAGTAAAAGTACAACGTAGCATTTTTTTAGACACCTGAGTGTAGTATTTCAGCACAAATTTGTAAAGAATGAGGAAATCTATTACATCAGTGAGTCCAAAAAGAAAATATAATACAAAAAATATAATTAGAGCAGGAAACAAGATTATGAATTACCGCTGTAAAAGAGGTGGTTCTGAAAACCTGTGTCTCAAATGCAAAAATTGCTTTCTTAAGTTGTACTCTCAGGTTTGTATTCTGATGCAGAGGTCTTATTGCCCATCAATAATTTGACATTGGACAGCCTACATAGAATTAATTTTGCTAACCACAGATTCCACGCTAAGTAGTTATTTCTATGTATGTACCTGCAACCATGTGCGTCTCTGTTACACAAAATGCTTCCTATGTTTCCCTTTTGAAGAATAAATATCTCAATAACACTTTTTACCAGCTTTCTTCCACTGCAGCTCACGTTTACGTACTGAAAATATCCATATCTAAGTCAATCACACTTAGATGCCAAACAAAATATAAACAATAAAAAATGTGTCAGCCAAAAAACTGCAGGACTGCGTCCAATCACTGAATAAGCCTTATCATTGTTTCCATCTTCAATCACAATTTATGAATACTTTAGTCCTTTCGAATTACAATGGTTTGTAACTGCGGAATAACTTAAATCATACTTATTTATTCACAGTGCAACTGTAAGTGCATCGCTGGCCTCTCTGCAGCAGCCTTGCAGCAGACATTACTTTCGCACATTTTTTGCTTCTTTAGCTATTTGTTGCACCAATGTGGAAGCACGCAGTTATCGCTTAATCAGTTTACATCACATCCTCCTAAGACAGACTTTCACGAAAGCTGAAAACTATCCCCGGGCTTTGCAGACGGGGTTTACCGTCCGAAACAGGCTCCGGTGCCGCGGCGCTCGCTCGCCGATACCGTATGCCGGCCGAGGACGCTGCAGGGGCACCCTGGGAACTTCCCAAACATGCTTCCGAAACCCCCCAGGTTTCAGAATCTGCGCTTTGCCGCGACGGAGACCCCCGCTCGGACTGCCCCCGCTTGCCGCGGCGCCGTCGCCCGCCGCGCCCCGCTCCGCTCCGCCGCCGCTGCGCCGCCGCTCCCCTCCCGCCGTCCCGCTGACAGCCGCCGCTCGGGACCGAAAAGCGGCCGCAAGCGCGATTGTAAAAAAGGGTCGGTCTCTCCCCGCGCTGGGGAGAGGGCACGCTCCTCCGCCAGCAACACAGTTTAGCGGGGAGGGGGAGAACGACGTGCGCTTGTGTAACCGAACGAGAAAACGCTGCACAGCTTGGTCATCCTCGCTCACATCTCCCTTATTGTTGGCAGCCTGCATATTATTAATTAAGCATAAAACTGGATAACTTCACACCGGCCAGTGCTCATGTTTTGTCAAAAAAAGCACTTTTCCTTTCAAATCCTTTCAGTAGGCTGTGTGTAAACAGGCGAGCTGAAAAGAGTGCAAATCGTTTTATTCCAATCAAATCAATACTTCTCAAACATGTTTTTTTAGCATAATTATGCTCATTTTCAGTTTGTTAACCTTTGACTTCTTGTGCACCAACAATTAACAGTATTTGTCTACGGGTGACACTTTGAATGGATCTCCCCAAAACAATGGCGTGGTACAGTTTATTCTTTAATATTCCCTCCTGAGTGAGGAGTTTGGATCTGACAAACAGTTACGACTGTGCTTTAACCCGTTACAACTACTAGCAATAACTCATTAACAACCCACATACATACATATATATATATATATATATATATATATATATATACATATATATATATATATATATATAAATTTTTTTTAGGTCCCAACAAACACGTGAAAATAAATAAATTAACAAATAAATTAAATAAAAGCGTCTATACCTGAGTGAGACAGATTGGAGAATACATCATGACTTCGCTTTGAGAACACGCTGCCCGGAGAGCCCCTAAGAAAAGCCTCAAAAAGGAATAATTTCATCTATTCATTTTACAGTCATCTGAGACTCAAGGAAGATGAAATCAATCAGGACGGGGCTCTGCTCTGGATCACCACAACTTCACAACAAACCCCAGTCCTCCTTAAATAGCCAAAGATTCAAGTTCACTCCGTGTGCTAGATTTCCCGGGGTGAAATCCAATCTACACTTTTAACCCTCTTGTAGTCGGCGGCGCAGGAGTCTTGCT